GCAAATATAACCATGGAGAAGCAGCCTTGAAGAACGTTACCACCATGAAAACAAAAGAATAAACGGAAGCATACATTGCACCAAACACATTATTTTTTCATCCATGTGACAAACACAAGTTTGCTACATGTGATCATGTGATACATGAGCTACCCAGTCCACCAAAACACTTAACAATTAAGACTTGGAGCTCAGCAAATCCTAAAAGCTTTTAAAATGAAACTAGATCACTGAGGGCAAGGAGGGGAATAACTCTACTTGCTCACCAAAATGGCCTTTCAATTATTGTATCAGTGACACAAAGGACCATTGCTCTTGCAGTGTTACAGACATGCCCAGCTGCCTTCTTCAGAGGCCACCATCCTGTACCAGCAATAAATTGTCTGCATTTCCCAGCAGAGAGGTTTTCAAAGCAGCATTTGAAGAAAATGCTTTTTCTGGTTTTCATACACACTGGAAGACTTAGTTTTGATTTCCTATGAAGATCAGTTCATCAGACTATGAATCTTGCATCCATACCATATCTCCCCCTCTGCAGAAAACACAGCAAAGGGAGACAGAAGCTGGAGAAAGGAGTATGCTGCAGAGAATTGAGTTGCAGTGAGCAGAACTCTGTCTCAGGACGTTGCTGTGCCGATCTCGCACTGCCCACTGGGAACACGCCTTCTCAACAGACACTGTCCTGAAACACTTCCCAACAAGCTCCATGAAGTTTCCTACTCTCAGCCCCAACCTGACATGTAACAGTGATGCTGTCCAGAAGGCACAAATGTCAACAGCCATCTACAGCCTGGCTGGCAACACATTAACGTAAGAGATTAATGACTTTATGGTACAACCTTTGATAAATTACACTGTACATCTCTGAAATTCCAGCACACACAGGGCACCTACCACCACCAGCAGTGTCTGTCAGTACAACTGGAAAAGGCTTCTGAGGTTTGTACAGGAACTCCTTCTGTCCAGCTAGACAGAGCTACCCATACAAATCACAAGTCCCGAAACATTCTGTTGAAAGCCTCTCCAGTAAGCTTTACTGCTGCTGCTTTCCTGGAAAGTACATCACTAGCACAGTACTCCAGTTCTTCCTTCTCTTGGCCTGCTTTGGCCTCCATATTAAGAGTCTCCATTCTTGGTTGTCTCTTACTGCATCTCCCTAACCACAAGAACAAGCAGTTATATGACCTGATGCATATTCCCAAGAAGTAAAGTTAGCCTTCACCTTCTCACATCTTTCAAGTAGCATCTCCATTGCTTTGGTGTGCTACCAGAGGGATCTGCTACAAACATTCCTGCGAATGGCTTACGCCAGGATCCTTCTGAGAACAGGGAAAACTGCTAACAGGCTTCTTACAAAGTTTATTAAAATTAATGGTAAAGGATGCAGTCTGCCATTACTTGAATAAAAGTGACACTTAGCAACAACTCATATTTGAGGAGGGATACACTTTGAAAACATTCCGCAGAAAATAATTTCTTTAAGTATCTGGTTTTGATCAACAGCTCAAACATAGAAAGAAACTGAATCTGCCAGGAAGCCTGATGCCTTCAAAGAGTGATAGCATTAAATGCCTGGGAGGATTGTATAAACTACTCCCAAATCACACAATCCACTGCCCTTAGAAGGGGAAAGAGAATCTTCTAATACCTCTTCAGGCACCAATTACATTATGCCATATTGCTTTCTAGCTCTTCCAGACTAACTAGTATCACCTTCATCTTCACTTGAATTTTCTGAATTCTTCCCTTCTCTTTGCATAAATTTTGAAAAATAAAGAAAATTCTATTTCATTCATGTAGCACTGAGCTGTATTATAGAGCTCAAGAGGGTTCTTCTTTATTTGAAGATATTGAAATTCACTAAATTCACTCTACAGGCTCCTCCTCTTTTTAGGCTCCCTTTCAGCTCCTGCTCAGTCCCCACAGACTCCTCTCTTACAAACCGAATCTATCCTGCAGGAAGTAACTGTGAATACACATCCATGATAACAAAGTACTGCACTTTTTCAGCATAGGCCATGCTAAGCTTCCCAAGTGTAGCCACTACCATGAACAAGCCCATCAGCAACTTGTTTTCTCTAATGCCACACACGTAACTTCTTGTTCCCTGTATGAACCCTTTGGAGAAGTTGAGCAACTGAGGTGTAAACCTGAGATTAATACTTGAAAGACTGAGGGAATGTTGGAGCTAGGCAGCGAGTTACAGCACACAGCTGCAGCTATGGAAAACCTGCTCCCCCTTTCTGCAAAGAGCTCTCTTTGACACATTGCCTTGGCACAGAAGACAACTGCATTTCCAGCATCCTCTGAGGTGCTTCTAGCTCAGCAGTGATTCTGAGAATGATCTGGTTGAGGAGTCCACAAATGCACCACTGGCAGGGTTTTACACAGGTGGATCTGAAGAGCCTGTGCTGTAGCTACCTTCAATGCTGCACAATGACAGGAGAAGTCTAATTTCATCAGCAGACCAGATACATATAAACCTTGCAAAGGAGCATCTGCAGTATATAATAGGAGCCTCCTTTCCCAAGTGCTGTGCAAAGACTTTCAGATAAACAGGTGCTGGCTCTGCCAGTAAGATCCTGAATTTTATCTTAAGACTGAATCCAAGCTAGAACAAACATTAGGCCTGTATTAATGACTACTTTTGTTCTCCAGAAACCACAAACTAAGTTAGGAGGACACGAACAGGACAGACTCTTCACAGACATTGTTTGAAAACCTTTGTTTTCTAAGAGACTTCTGCTGCCAGAATGATAACAGATTAATCCGTTTACCTGCCTGTACCTGACAGCAACTAACAGCTTGTTGCAAACATACTGAACCAATAAAGGGCATCTACAGGTTCTAAGGACATCACTCAGCACTGGATTCTTGTGTTTCAGTCACCACAACCTGTCTACTGTGTTATTTTCATTCAAACAAAGCAAGGTATCATCTGCCACTGGCCAGTTACTACTCAGAGTTATAGAGGCATGATAACCCAGTGACACCCCACATACAGCATGCAGTTGAAAGAATAGGTCTAGCAGAGCTCCCCACAAAATCTGAAAATGAAAATACACTGATGAAGACAGCATGGCATATTTTTCATGGGCATGCATAAAGTATGTCATTTGAACACCAAGTAAGGGAGCCAATTCCAATCTTGCTGCCCTCTTCTCACAAGTTACCATCACAGAGCTTTCCTTGAAAGCTCACAAGCAGCAGCAGAGGTCTGCTTGTTACGATTCGCCTTCTTCCTTCAGGTTTTTAAGGGAACACTTTTGCCATCAAGTAGACTTGGATTTCTCATCTACAAGATGGGAACTAGAACATGGTTTTGTAGTGGAGCTTAATATCCCTCTGTTACATGAGGATGGCATCTCCTCATGTATACACTTACTCCCCTTCTGGCTTATCTAGATAAGGTCTTTCTTGCAGAGAATATGACTACATCTGCTTAAAAAGGCAACAATTTCAAATTCTATGTCTGAACGTAGTCTCCCCTAAACCCAGCCCATCATCCAACATGCTGTGAGTACCAGCTCCACAGCATAACACTAGGACCAGCCATGTTTCTGCGACACGCAGCCAGAGAAAGAGAAGGGCTGATGTGCCCACGCAAGCCCTAACCAGTCTGAGGCCTCTCAGGCAGAATCAAATAGCAAGGGCCAGCCTTTCCCAGGTTGTTTCAACTACACTTTGCCATTCAAAAGGCCTAATAGTCATCAGCTTGAAAAGGAGAGTGAGGTTCATCATCTCAAAAGACACTGGATTTCCCAATCCAATTCTGGAACCAAAGTAAAACTATGCTATGCAGCTTCCAGTTTCTCATTTCAGCAGTTGGACTGTTACAGCACATATCTCCTAGGTTAAAAAAAAGCACACCTTTTACACCCTGCACATACACACTGAATCTCTTTACTGCTCACTCTTGTCAGATTTTCACTCTCAGGCTGATGTTCTCAGGACCAGTCACTACTCAAAAGTAAGCAGTTACAGAAAATGCAATAGTTGATGCCTTCCTGAGAGGAAAGGGAATGAAAAAAACCCAACAAAACAAAAACCTCAAGCCCAAACCAACATCTCCCCTTCAGAGAAATCTTCTCAACACCTCTCAAGCTGAAATAGCGGGGAGTGGAAAAAAAAAAGAAAAAGCTTTGGCAGGAAAACAGCTTCAACTGAAGTGTTTTAATGTAACTAAATCAGTGGCCCTTGAAAAAGCGTAATTGCACATACACGGTCATTTATCAAAACCAACTGCCAGATGCTGGAACGAAGCCAACATGTGTATTGCCCTAATTTAACTATTTGCATATTAAAAAGAAAATCACTGGAGGTTTGGACACTGAATGGAAACCAGCTATCCTCACCCAGAGTGCTGTGTGATCCTGGGGGAGCCCTGGGTTCGTCCAGCAGAGCATTTAAGCAGGTGCTTATGGTTATAGCATGGTAATAGCCCACAAACACCAACTATAATTAATACCTGCAGATAAGCCTTTCTAGATTAAAGGTTATATACAGGTGTTAACCAGTCCAGCTGAAATTTTGACAGGTAAATCTTTTCAGGAATACATACACAGTGCTCTGCAGGCAGATCTGAACATATTCTGTCAGTGCTGGGAGCCAGCTGTGCAGCACTGCTACAAATAGCAAGCCAAATTTAAGTGCTGCATCTATGACAATGCACCGTGAGTTCCTGTTTCCTACTTAGTTCAGAGCACGGGCAGGTGAACTCAGTCTAGAGAACCGACAGAGATGACATCTATCTACAAAAAACAATGTAAACTTACTTCTTGTTGTCCTAGTTACAAGAAAACAAACAGGAAAACCAGTTAGCACATTTAACCTGAAAGAAAAAGAAATATCCCAAGTGCAGTTTTTGTACAGGGATGTGTTTGCAGCGTTGCATATTGCAATTGTTTTAGGCCATCATGCAGAGCCACTGTTTTAAGATGTGGTAAACACCCCCAAGTGTCAGCCCGTAGAACACTGTGGTGTCATCAGCACAACCTTACCTTCCCAGCTCTTCCCCGATTTCATAAATGTCTTCCACCTTCTGTTGCTTGAACAAAGCCATACCTGGACTTTTCATTGATGCACAAAGATGATGCAACTAGAACATGAAGAAATAATGACATTCATTATAATCTTCAAATAGGCAAAGAATCAGTAAAACACATTTCTGGAAAAGTCACTTTGGATCCATTGTAGCTCATTCATGGCCAAAGTTACCACTGAGCAATCAGAATTATTCAGTCTCAGCCAAATTGCAAAGGTCCAAATCTGGAAAGAGGTGAGCACCTCTAAGTGAAGAGGGTTCTTGCCTCTCCCAGAAGTACCTGGGCATATACTGAACCAGAAGCACAAAACACACCTTGAAACATAGAGGTGACAGAAGTAAAGCAGCTAATTAATATTTTGACAAACTTATTGACAACAAAGCACCTGGACTTTGCTAAAGAGATCTATCTTGAGAATCAGCATCACAGGCTTCTTCATTAAAGTGTCAGCAGGCAGACCATGAACCAAGGGACCACAAGGCAGAGCTTCCTTTTTCTCACGTGTTTCTGAAGTGATGGTGTAAAACTGAGGTCAACACAGATGGACTTCAGAAAAAACAAAGGACAAAGACAAGCCTTGCTGAAAACCCCAAACCTTTTGCACAGCCTGAATTGCAAGATTAAGTTCTGAGCAGTTGCAGAAGTCAAGTATGGGAAATGCCCACATATGAAGAGATACTGCTGAGACTTGCCCAGACTGTAAATCCCTCAAGCTGACTACTCCCTTCATCAGAATCCAAGGTACGTGGCAATAAACAACATTAATGCAAACACACCTGAAAGGAAACCATTGTTCTAAGAAAGAGAGAGTTTGTCATTCAGAGAAGCAAGTTAAAAACAGTGCTTTGAGAATGGGGAACTCACCCAAGTTGCCTGTGGGAACACAGTCACTTCTCATTTGATTGACAAGTTTACTCATTTCCCAGCATCCTCCAAAGAACGTACCTAGTTCTCCAGATGCATAGAATCCACACAATTTTATCTCAAAAATATCATTCATGCATCCAAGTCAGCCTAGAGCCTTGCATTTGAAGGCTGAATACAAAACTGTTCTTAAGTGTTCAGTCCCTTCAGTAGTGCTGGTGTTTCTAATGTCTAACACTTCACATTATCTTATGCTGCCTTCCACTCTCATTACTTCTCTTTTTTACAGAAATCTCCCCCTGGCTTTTGCCCAACAACAGTTAGCACAAGCCCAAAACAGATCATACACTGGGTGATCCAAGACAATTGTTGTTAGCAAATACACAGAGTAAGGATGAGAACAGAATAGCAGATAACCTTCACACACTTAAAACTTAGTTGAAAAAAAACCACCTTCACAAGCATAAACATAGCCCTCCCCAGTATATATATTATATACTTGGGAAACTAAGTTGATTCCACATTCAAAGATTTAAACTACAATGTTTTTGTTGGACTTCATTTGCAAGCACAAAGAACAAGTATATCAAAGGAGGAAATAGAGCCTGAAATTTTTTTCATTATGTAATGTGAATGCATTTCCTTATGCTGGCCAGTGAAAGCAGACTGAATTAGAGATGGTCATTCACCTTTAACTCGGACAAAGAAGTTGTATATTCACAATCTCAGGAAACAGCAACAATCAACTTTGTCTTCTCTTTGTACACTCTTTATGCTACCACTTGTAGAGCATGTGCCCAAACAATATCAATACAAAGAGCCAGGCCCATTCCAACCACTTGGGGTCTGCACCAGGTCTCATTAAAACCGGGACAATGGGGGAATCTGCTGCAGTAAGTTTTGGGTCAGGGCAGAACTTTAAGAGCTCCAAGGCAAGCTTTACAGAGGAGATGAATAACCTTCTGTGTCCTTCCACAGAAGATGCCATGTCTGCTCCTCAACAATCCCATACTGGGACCATCTCTTCTGTATCAGTCTCTTTGCTCTAGGTTTCCTAGCAGTAGAGGCCAGCTTCTACTCAACATTCACATTATGTACTGCGTTTTTATAATGATGCTCCACAGTATAGCATATGCATAGGATATGGTACTTCACCTGTATCCAACACCTCTTTACGCATCCCAGACATCACAAGCTGGCAAAGCATAATCCTGCGCAAATGATTTTCCTGCAGACATGTAACAAAGTTGTAGCAGAACCAGAAGACACAGAATACAGACCCCTGAGATTCCAGTTTCAGGCACTAGAAACATGTCCTGCCTAATCTCTTCACATTCCTAAACTTTGTCATGCCATCCCTAAAATCGGATTCCCATTGTGACCTGAGGCATCATTTTGAATGCATGTACCTTACATCAGTAGAGCCCCAACGAAGATATTCCTGTTCCAGTAGGTAAGTGCCTTTCAGTGCAGCTGTGTGTAAAGGAAAGCAATCTGAAGAAATTCACTCTTCTGAAGAGGCTGACAGAATATGCCTTAAGAGGAGCAAAAGAAAGTTCTATTTCTCTCTTTTAAAAGGGTTTCCCTGCATACGTAAGTTATTATCCTGTCATTACTGAATTGACAATCAGTAGCTGGCCCTCACGTGGTAAATCCATGATAAATGTCCACCCACCACTGAATGACAGCAGGATTACACAAAAGAGAGGCAAGAACAAAACTGTTGGATCCTTTGGCTGGAATTCGCCTTGCTTTTTTTTCCTCCTTAGGCTATCTTCTGCCCTAAGGAAACCAGTTTCAAGTGTCTCAGGTAACAGCTGAATAATCTTACTTTCTTAAGTACACCTGACATCAGCTGAATCACTAAATCATTTGCGAAACTCAGAAGCATCCCTTGTGGCATGTTTTTATATTACAAAATAATAGTTACACTTAAAACAAGATCCAAAACACATTAGCATAGACCAAAGGAATAACTTCCCTTTTAAGTTGTTCTTCAAAACTGAGAAGTGACCAAAACCATTTAGAATCAAAGCTGGACTGTGTAAAATTAGCAATTTGGAAAAAAGGGGGAAGGGGGAGAAAAAAAGAGACAAAATCCAAATCCACAAAACAAATTCAAGTGCTATTATCTCCTCATTTTGGTGCCTTATGCTAAAACTAAACAGATTCTTGTAAGCATTAGCATGCTCCTCTTTCACCCTTCTCAAAGCTTTTCTCTCTTCTTTTTTGTCTGAGAAAAGACTAATTCTAATAGCAAAAACCAAGTAATTTTTACCCTCTGCTGTCAAATAAAGGTAATCAAAGCACAGTTAAAAGCTAGATTAATTTCAACAAACCCCGATTTTTACCTAAATATTTTCTTGTCAGAAGACAACAACAGCCTGATTTTTTTCTGCCAGAAAACTGAGACAGCTGTTACTACCCGTGTGCCTGTGGAGGACACAAAAGACAGCCAACACCAGAGCACTTCAGTCCCATGACAGAATCCTGCCATTAACTCCCAAGGAATCACTTTCTGACCTCCCACGTTTACTCTGCAACACTTACACATGTGGTGAACGACCAAAGACTGCATTTCCAAGTCTCCGCTTCAAGCATACACAGCAAATGTGTTAGCTCTGCAGCTAATTCCAGCCCCCAGCAGACAGCTAACTGCCAGGGCTGCCGCTGTAACTGATACCAAAGCCCCTGGCGTGCCTGAGCGATGAGCGCGGTGTGAACGCTGGACGGGCAGGGCGCAGGGGGAAGCCCGCAATGCCAGGCATGCTGGCACGGCATCGCAGAGCCCTGCTCCCCGTCCCCGAGGCGCCTTCAAGGATTACTTCTGCAGATCACACACATCGCTGCCCCAAAGTCAAGGGAGATCAAGCCTGTGCGATCCACATTTCTTAACACAAGCAAATAAAGGATGCAGGAAAGTCTGAAACTACAAATGCTTCAGAACGGATACTCCAGAGGGGCCAGTTGGCCAGGGAGCCTGCTGATTATGGTCCTTCTACAGCTGGGGTCTGATCACCAAAGCAGGAGCAATTGCCACTTATTTCCACACTCTCATCTACACCTGCATTCCTGACTGTCCTCTAATGGGATGCAGGCCAGGCCAAACCAGCCCCTGCTGTGCCGCATCACCCCAAACCCCAGCTCACTGCCCAGAGAAGGAGCTGTCAAGGAACCCACCAGATCCCAAGTGAACCTGTTGGAGGGAAAAGGCAGGGAGGAACTTGTGGCTAAACGTATTGAAGTCGCACAGCATTTGCTGAATGACACCAGTAAGATGAGGTGTGAACCCAAGACCAACAGCTCCTGATGGTTTTGGACAGACAGAAGCCAGTGTGTAACACCCAACGGTGTACTTCTGCAACTACCACACTCTCCAGCCCCTGTGGGACCTGCTCAGCAATGAGGGATCTGCTCACTGAGGAGGTGGCCGGGGTAGCTGTCTTTTCCCCCGGCTGACAGCAAGCACTTTAAGCCTGAGGTGGAAACACCGCTGAACACGCCGTGGATGCCCGAGTGCAAGGCACCACCCGAGCACCTCCGACAGAGCGGCACCACAGCCACCGGACTGACCTGTGGAGGGACCCCTCCACGACGCTGAGGAGAACCGCTCAGGCGATGGGGGGAGGCCCTCCGGGTCCCCAGAGCCCGCCGCAGCCTCCAACCCCCAACACAGGCAGGACGCAGAGCGGGAGGCACAAGGGGGAGAGAGGAACGGGGAGGGGGTCCGGCGCCGAGCAGGGGAGGGGAGCGGAGCGGAGCCCACGGCGCCGCCGGCTGCGGGGCCCAGCGCCCACTTACCGCGGGGCAGGGCGCGGCCCGTCCGCCTCCGCCGCGCTCCCTCCGCCGCTACCTCAGCTCGCAGGGTCCCGCCGGCCGCGCGTGGCGGGAGGAGGCCGAGGGGAGGCGCCAACGCCGCTCACCGGAGCAGCCGGTGGGAGGGGCGCCCCGCCGCGGGGGGACAGCCCGCGCCCCCTGGCGGCCCCGTGAGGTGGGGAGCACCCGGGCAGGCCCGTCCGTGGCTCCGGCAGCACTGCTGGGCTGTGGGGGCGCGGCCTGCCCGCAGCCCCCGGGCAACAGCCCCAGCACCAGGGCAGGCACAGCGCAGCGTCACCGCAGCTGAGGTGTCGGTCGGGGCTTGGCTCGTACAAAGCCTTCCGGAGCAGCACCGCGCAGCCGGGCTGCTGAGGGAGCATCTCTGAGAGGACCCCATTTCTTCTGCTTTAGTAGATGCAGGATGTGTGAAAACAATACAAAGAAAATACGGCTGAGGAGGTGAATGCACTAGAGAGGCACTTCATTTGCAGAAGCCTTGTTCTGTCTAAGACTATATAGTTTACTGTGTGGTCTGAAACTCAGCGTTACCCAGTGAGCATCAGGCTTGTGGAACGAAGAGCAGCACAGGTTTCCAGCCCTCATCGTGCGTCTCAAAATGCAGAACATACACTACTATAGCAAACATTTGCAATACTGGTTTCAAGTACTGTTTATACTGCCCTAGACCAGATGTTGGCTACCAACAATGACATGTGGTCACTCTCCTGTCTTAAAGACATTCCCAAAACCTTTAAAACTAGGCTGTCTCCCTCTTCACTTGTCAAGGCAGCATCTGCAATAAATACTGTTCGTTAACCTTAAATTTATTCTGGGCAAGTTAATACCCACCACTTGTTAATGAGGAAGGATGTGGTATCGTTCACACCTTGAAATCACACGTGAATGCCAGGCTGCCTTCACTTCCAATCCTCCACATGGTTAAGATGAAGCAAAGCTATGGAAAATTATCACACATAAATGGGCAGGCTGTTTCCATTGAAATCAGTTGCAATGATAGATGAACTTTAAAAGCATCTTATACTGGGCAGTTCTTGTTATTATCGCAGTTCAAAAGGAACTTGGCTCCAGACTTGTTCCAAGTGAAGAGGACTGAACTGTGCCCTTGCTCGCCTGCCCTGGGAGTGGTGTTCACAGCCCAGGAGTTCCACCCAGCTCCCCCAGTTCCGAAAGCAAAGTGGCTGCATCTGCTATTACACAGGGTGGAGGACGGGAAATGGGAGCAATAATCAAGTTTTCAGAGGGCAGTGGAAGAGTTCAGAACGCTTTGAAAGAGAAATAGAGATATTTCATTTCTCACCTTTAGTTCTACAATGTGACGTGATCACATGAAAGTCACAGCAATCCTCCTCCAAATTCTCAAGGGAAAGGGCACAAAGGGAAGGCCTCCTCTTCTGTTTCCTCTTAGCTGCAAGGACAAAACAGCATGGTTTGACCTGAGAGAACACAAATCAGGACAAGCTCTCCCCAGTCCTTGAATAACCCCAATTTGAATTTAATGTCTCCTGGCAAGCCCTGCAAGGTCTCAAAGAAGAGCAAAGGTAGGTTGAATCTCACCCCTGACACCACGTCCATAGGGTTTGCAAGCCAAAATACAGGTTCTGCTTAAGTAAGATGCTGCTCTTAGGTGGTTTAGTTGTTTACCCTTAGAACACTAATAAACTTCTTTGTAACATCTCTGGCAATCAGGACAAAAGCCTTTATGCGCATACAGGACAAGAACAGGAAGAAAAACTCAAAGCTGAGTACCATTTGAAGCAGGCAGAACAAGCAAACACTGCAGCATCTACTAACCATGTGTCTCTATCTCCTTTAGGAAATGATAAAGAAGGAAGCTCGTACCTTATGTTCCAAAGGGGGAGTCCCAGGTAAACAGCTTATTTCACAGTTTAATCACCAGTCACAGTGCCTGGAGACACCACAGTCAGCTCTTCAGCTCAAACCTGAAGTCTCAGAGTCAGCTCACTGCAAAAACTTAACGGTTTTGTACACACAGAAGGTACACCTCATTTGAAACACCAGGTAGGAGGCAGTTACTCGAAGCTAGGAGAACCTTAAGGCCAAAATCATCTTAATTTGCACCAGGCGTATTCTACTGTTGAGTGTTTTCATCACCTCTCTTTACAACACCCCAGACTATTTGAGGGTAGAGAAGAGATTGGGTTTCTTATTTAGTAGCTGTTTAGGGTTTTTAGTATCACATTCAATATACAGTCCTGAACTTTGCTTTCTAGTCTAATCCTCTGTAAAACTAGCATTGTAAGTGGGTATAACTGTAGGGAGGCATGCCTTCTACAGCATAGTATCATGATGAAAACACCATTCTACTAACTTGCTTGTGATTGAACCTTTTACCTTCTTTTCCAGGGGGGAAACTTCCAAGGCAGAGCACACCCTTCCTTTGCATTATCTGAGTGAATGCACTTCATGTGTGGGAATTCCTACAGCTTCAGCACTACATGGATTCTGCTTCCAGTGAGGTCAAGGAGCTGCAGATAAGGAAGCTATGTTTAGCACTTCTGAAAATCCCACAGAATGAACACCTGACACATTGCAATGCCAGCAGATTTCAGTGCGTTCTCTGCACCTCTGGGGCACCCAGAACAGAGAGTGAGACTCTGCAGGTATTTGGTCTCAGTTCAGAGTAGGCAAGCTGTGTTTATCCTTTCTAACGTGGCTCTTACAGATAAAGTATTTAACAACATACATCAGCTATACACATCAGCCACATCCCTGTTGCAATTCCACTGGGAACAGATGCATCAAGCAGGAAACAGGAGCCTCAGCTGTTCTTTAAGAGGCCACAGCAGCTGCTAGGGGAACACAACGTAAATATGCCAAGCATCCAAGTGAAGACATCACTCCCTGTGCACTCTCTTCCCAGCATTTTCTGTTTATTCCTTTGACTTAGACTTTCAGTATACAGGATAGGAGGTCTTTAGGCCATAGTTATGTCGTGCCTCAATTGCTGCTCTCTATCCTGTTTTGCAACCCCTTTGAACACATTTCCAACCCTGCCAGTATCTACTCTTAACAGCTTGCCAGTCTGTAGCAGAGCCAGAGGACAAGAATAGTGAACTACGTACCTCTACTGTGAAAGATCTGCTTGGACATGCAATTAAAGTGATCTCCCAACTCTTCCAACTTTTATTTTTCCTCCCTCACAAACATTTTGCTGTTAAGTTTCATATCTGAAGTAGCTGAGGTACTCTATAGCCTCTTTAAGGGAGGCAAGGTAACTCCAAAATGCAAAAATCAGATCTCAAAGACAGACAGAGACTAGATTTACAATTAGTTCAGTACTTCACATTTTCAAAGCAGCTATAATTATGCACTTGGCTACCACAGGCTTTAGTAGAACATCAGTGCCCAAGACTACTAAAAAGACCTTTGGTACAGGAGATACCATACAAATGCACATAGAATCATAGACTTCCTAGGAAGCCTGTGAATGCTCACACAAGTTTAAATCTCCCCTTCCCTTGTCTCCTGAGAAACTAAGGACACTAATCATCACTTTACCCAGTCAGCATCCCCTGCATGCAACATGTCACTAGTTCACATCTTCAGGCTTCACAGCCAGATTTCTATCTACATTCCTTTATAGAGACTCTCTCAAATCACATTATGAGACAATAACACCAGCTTTGCTACTGGTTTGTCCTGATGGCACCTGCAGTCATTTCCCTCTGTTACAGGAAAAACAAAAAGAAACAAGAACCAGAGCAAGCTGTAAAGTAATAAACAATTTATTTTTAATTTACATCAATCTTTACGAAAATAGCGTCACTTATGTTCTGTGATTCAGAGTTCTTGTACCGCATATTGCTGATTTCTAACATGGCACTTAAGGGAACATTCACTTGAACAGCTACAGAATTCCACGACATTGACTGATTTTCCATTTCTCAGTTAAGCATGACTAACATACAAACTCTGTCAAATTTAAGACCATTCATTCATTCCTGATGTCTTAAGGAACTAAAACAAAACCAATCTTTCCCTTTCTATTTAACTATCTTACCATGCTTACAAAGACTGAGGGCAAAGGGAGAATCTCTCACAGAAGACACCTAAGGGCAACAAAAAAATCTTTGACATACTGATTACACGGCTGGTAAAAAAAATAAGCAACCACCAAACAATGTGATAACACTGTATGATAATACTACCTGTATGCATGGACAGGTAAAGCTGAAATACTGTGCAGTTTCAATAGCTAGAGGTGTAGTGCACCGATTTTTTGCCTATTTAACAGAAGATAACAGAGCATTTTAAACAAATAACAAGAAGTTTCACTGGAAAGCCATGCATACATGTATGAAGATGCGAAAGGACCTCTGCACATATGTACATGACCTTGAAGTTAAAGAAGAGTCTTAGCAGTCTTTATTTGCATTAACAACTCAATTCCCTCCTAAGTGGCTGATATAAATGTTAACTCTCATGCACTCTTTCAGAAGTTTACCTCTAAATACAAACACTTGGTATCTATGCAGTTCAGCTTTTGCAGGCCACTGAGTCACACTATAGTTTTGCATCAGGTTTAAATGCTGCCTGTGTATCTTGCATGTCCCTAGCTGGTTACTACTCCTCAAAGTTACCAGAGAAAGCACTGCTAGAAAACTAATAGTCACCCAAAGACATTGCAACAGCTAGGCAAGCTTCCCCTGACATGGCTTCCTGCTATATGCATCTCATTTTTGTTCTATGTATACTTCTAGTTGTCAGAGCTTAGTTACCTCTGCAATTCTTTGACCTTTCAACTAAGGCATCAGTAACAATGCTTAACAAAATGAAATCAACAGCTCGCTGGGAATTTGAATGTAACAGCATCAACTCATTTCATATTTGCAAGCTAATGAAATACCCAGAGGAAACACAATTTCCATAAGCTTTCAAACATTCATGTACTGAATTCACACAGTGGCATAAGAATCAGAAGTACTTAGTTTTACAGGACAATTGGGTAACAACTTATAGAACGAAACACAGCACCACATACACACAGATTTAACAATCAGAAATGGTCCTGTAACATTGCAGGTCATGTTTTGTCAGCCAGACAACTTACTAAACAGTTGCCCTAAAGTTAGTTTA